CTAGTTTAATGAAAAGAAGGACTAGGGGAGACATGATAGCAGTCTTCCAATATCTCAGGGGTTGCCACAAAGAAGAGGGAGTCAAACTATTCTCCTGAGGGCAGGACAAGGAGCAATGGGTGGAAACTAATCAAGGAGAGAAGCAACTTAGAACTAAGGAGACATTTCCTGACAGAACAATTAAGCAGTGGAACAACTTGCCTCCAGAAGTTGTGAATGCTGGACATTTTTAAGATGTTGGATAGCCATTTGTCTGAAATGGTATAGGGTTTCCTCTCTAGGCAGGAGGTTGGACTAGAAGACCTCCGAGGTCCCTTCCAACTCTGCTATTCTATTTCTTATTTCTATTTCTTTTTTCTTATTTCTATTTCTATTCTTATTCTATTTATTTCTATTCTATTCCACTTCTTCTTCTATTCTATTCTATTTCTTATTTCTATTCTATTCCACTTCTTTTTCTCTTCTCTCCTCTTCTCTTCTTTATATCCTGCCTTTGTTATTTTTTATACAGATCTCAAGACAGCAAACTTCTCTAATATTCATTTCTCCTCCTATTTTCCCCACAGCAACCAGCCTGTAAGGGGAATCGGGGCCAGTAATGGCTAACCTTTTTGCCATCACATGCCGAAAGCACGTGTGTGCGCCCGCACCCCTAATGCAATGCGTGTGCAAACTCTCCCCCGTGCACCCCACTCCTCTGCATATGCACACGCGACACACACACATGCTCCCTTCACCTCCTGGCCATTGCGTGTGAACGCCCCCCCCCCCTCCATGCCACATTTTGGGCCTAGTAGGCCTCCCTGCAACTTCCTGGGAGCAAAAATGGGCCGCAGGGAGGGCCTGCCTCGTGCACACACCCATGCATGCGCCCCGTTTTCCACACGTGTGGCAGAGACCCGAAAATCAGCTGGCCGGCAGAAGTTTTGTGCGCACATGCGGTATGCGGTGGAGCTGAGGTGGGTCAAGGGCTCTGCATGCCACCTGTGATGCTTCTCCATCGCAGCACAAGGAAGAAGAGGAAAGGAGAGAAAGTGGTGTTAAAAGCTGGAAGTGCAAATACCTGGAGGAGCACGTAGTCCGGTGGAGCAATCCTGAGCAGTGTGTACAACAACTGGAAACTCTGCACAATCACTTTAATGATATACTGGGAAACCCTGGGCCCAACTGCAAAGGAAGAGAACCTCCGGTCAAGGCCTGATGCTAAGTATGGTTACTGTTCTGACCCCACTCCGTCCGGTGATTAACGCCGACACAGGCTTAGCTGTTTGCCACTCTTTATTTACAGCAATTACAATATCCTGTTGACTGAAAGCCCAGACACGACTCACAGGCAAGACGTTGGCAGCAACCTAGACTCCAACAGACACGGAAACACAAGGCAGATCAGACAAGGAGTTCTCCAGATTAGTACAAACGGTTGTGTCCTGCAAAAGGACTCCTCCTAAAGTCTCTTCTTATATACTCTCTTGGGAGGGGCCAAGCCACAACCACCTGGACTCGATTATCTTTTATGGATCTGTCTCCATAACTGCTGCCTCCATTTCTCTGCCCTTCTCTATCTGGTGTCAGGGACAAACTCCCTTTGATCTTCCCCACTGCTCCATGCCTCAGGCGCCTCCTGGTGGCCAACCAGCCTCTCTGGTCCCTGCTCTGAGTCTGCCCAGTGTCCTCCACATCTTCCATAGCAGACTCATAGGGGTCCTCACTATCGGAGTCCATCGGCAGCTCCAACGGCTCCTGCTGGGCCACAACAGGTTTCTATGCAGGATAGCCCTCGATTTACAGCCATTTGTTAAGTGGCTGTTCGAAAGTTATAATGGCGCTGGAGAAAAAGAGACTTCCAACCGGTTTTCGCATGACTGTTGCCAGCATCCCATAGTCCTGGAATTAAAATCCAGGTGTTTGATAACTGGCATGTGCAGATAGTCCTTGACTTACTAACAGTTCGCTTAGTGGCCGTTCAAAGTTACGATGATACTGAAAAAAGGGACTTACTGACCGTTTTTCACAGTTACGACAGTTCCAGCATCCCTGATCAAAATTCAGACGCTTGGGCACTGACTCTCACTTACGACAGTTGCTGTGTCCCAAGATCACGGGATCCCCTTTTGCAAACATCCGACCAGAAATCCCGATTCATTTAACAACCAGGTGACTGACTTATCAACTGCGGTGATTCACTTAACAATGAAGACAAGAAAGGTTGCCAAATGGGGCAAAAACACACTTAACAAATGTCTCGCTTAACAACAGAAATCTTGGGCTTCATTGTGGTCGTAAGTCGGGGACTGCCTAGTATTTATGACGGTTGAAGTGTCCTGGGGTCAGGTGACCCACCTTTTCAACCCTCTGATCAGCCAAAGTCCGCAGGGATGCCAAATTCACTTAACTGCCATGGTTCACTTAACAAATGTGGCGAAATTGTAAAATGGGGTGAAATTCACATCTTGCTTAGCAACAGAAATGTTGGGGCTAATTGTAGTCATAGGTCGAGGACCCTGTGTAGTTGAAAAACATTAAGAATACAGTCTCCTAGACCAGCAGTCACCAACCGGTGGTCCATGGACCACTAGCGATCCGCAAGAAAATTTTAGTGGTCCGCAGAAAAATTATTTGCATTTTTTATATTGCACTAAATCAGGGGTTCTCAAACTGCGGCTCCTGGGACGGATACCTGCAATGAACGCTTGTGTTGCTGCAGAGAGTCTCCCGCTTCGGGGTCTTTTTGTGTGGCTTAGAGGGGGGCAGAAATTCTGACTTGGGGTCTGCTTTGGCCTCACGGTGACCCCTGTCCTAGGACCCGTATAGTTTGAAAGTACACAATGTTCAAATGCAGAGGTGTTCTCAGCCTTAAATGCCCTACTTAAAATTGAACAAAATGTTCTATCACAGAATGACCCCAGACGGAAAAGGGCAATGCCTGGTGACATTAGCCAACAAACACCCTTAAGTCAACCTAATTCTTTGGATACTTCTTGGCAAGAAAGAAGGCAGGTGAAGAAGGTGGATGAGCTTCAGCTGGAGAAGATCTAGAAGGTGGCAGATTGTTTGAACCTATTGTCCAAGGATGGTACTGGTTGTACTCATCATTGACTAGCGCTAATACGCTTTGATATAACGCTTGTTTGCATGCCATTCCTTCCTTGCTGGTAATGCCAAAAACAACAAAGAAGTCCATGGAGGAAGAGAAAAGACTGATGAACAAAAGAAGGATTATTTAGATCTTGGCAATATTTCTGTACAAATAAAATCAGTCTGATTAGATATCAGACTTAGCACTGATGAGTATGTAAGTGCAATAACGTTCAACCTACCTTTCCAGATTTTCAGCTCAGTAAGGGGAACAATCTCAATATTTCCATTGTTTATGATCTCACTGTGCGGTTTTGTGCCTGGAAGAAAAACAGGGCTAAGAATTTGTCCAAGATAAAGGTATTAAGAAGACCACATACAACCTCTGAAGTCAGCTACCTCAGAGGTCAACTGGAGAAAAAAACATGTTTGTTTGTTTGCTTATTGGATTTATATGCCACCCTTCTCCCAAAGGACTCAGAAAACTATAAACGTAATAAAACTCCAGCCTCCATAAGTAGCAAATAAGTGTAATACGCATGAGCCGGAATGGGGACAACTGAAGGAGTCTTTAGACCAGAGGTCTTCAAATTTGGCAACTTTTTAAGACTTGTGGATTTCAACTCCCAGAATTCATCTTCCAGCCAGAATTCTGGGAGTTGAAGTCTACATGTTTTAAAATTGTGAAGTATAGAGACCCCGAGTCTAGACCAGAGGTAGCATGCTGCCGGTTCGCACAGGTAGTAGCAGTGGTGCAAAGCCCTGCCCACCGACCCTGATGTCATCATGGACCTTCTGCGCATGTGCAGTGGGTTCTGCACATGCCCAGACGTGTGTCCACTCCTGCTATCGAATTGGTAACGAACAGAATAGAATGCCATTTCTGGTCTAGACCATGGTTGTCCAACCTTTTGCCTTGTGTGAGTGAAGAGAAATCATCTTGGGTCGCATATAAGATAGTTAAGGTATATAAACCCCATAATAATATTTAAAGTTTGCGATGATGTGGGGATGCATTAGTAGCTGCCCAGAGCCACGTGTGGCCCGCAGATCGAGGGTTGGACATAACCTGCTCTAGATATTGAGTCCGAATTTCTCAGATGAAGAATCCAAATTAAAGTTTCCGTAGATTCAATGGATTTCACTGTAGGTTTTCAATAATAGACCGGGCAACCATTTGACTGGGATGATAGAAGTTATTATTATGAAACCATCAACTAGCTGAAAGACAAGAACAATTATGCTTCTATTCCTAATTCAAAGAGGGCATGTTATTTTAAAAAAACAAACTCCCAAATTACTTCCATTACTAATCACATTCTGATTAATCATGGCTAAAGTTTACACACAAGCTTTTCAGAAAGAGTTTGCGTGCCCCATCCTGTTGCCCTGGTTTTGAGGTGAACGAAAATATATCATAAAGGGCGCAGAAGCTTCTGGGAGGAGGTGACAATAAAAGACAATAATAATCTAGTAAAATCTTAAGAAAACTAGCTCTTTGTTCCTTTGTTGCCTGCCAATATTTATTTATTTATTTCCGTACCAGTTTATTAATTCTGCTTATTTTGGCTGTCTGGTACGCCCTCCCCCCCCCCTCCCTGCCAAAAATGCCTTTATTTTTATTTTCTCCATCATTGGCTGGCAGCTGTTACTTCTGCAAATTTAAATACCAAGAGTGCAACCACAAAAAATTATTTCATTCATCCATTTTGTTGGCCACGGGCAAAAACATTTCGGAGAATAGATTTGAACCCGATTGATGGGCAAGAAAGGACAGAGAGCTGAAAATCTGAATTAAAAAGAAGGCAAAAGCCCTGAAAACAGAAAGCCTAAAATCATATCACAAGTCATATCCCAAATCTGAGGTGAGGTTCCTCCTGCGCACCTCCCACCCACCCCAGCAAGAAGGCAGAAGCCTTTTAGAATGGAATGGGAATGGGAATAGAAGTTGGAAGGGACCTTGGAGGTCTTCTAGTCCAACCCCCTGCTCAGGCAGGAAACCCTATACCACTTCAGACAAATGGATACAGAAACAGGAACAGAACAGAATAGAAGAATAAAATAAAATAAAATAGAATAATAGAACAGAACACGAATAGAAAAGGAATAGAATATCATAATGGAATAGGATAGGATGGGATAGGGATAGAAGAGAAGTTAGAATTTAGAATAGAAAAGGAATAGAAAAGCAATAGAAAAGGAATAGAATATCATAATGGAATAGGATAGAATGGGATAGAAGAGAATAATATAATATAATATAATATAATATAATATAATATAATATAATATAATATAATAGAATATAATAGAATAGAATAGAATAGAATAGAATAGAATAGCAGAGTGGGAAGGGACCTTGGAGGTCTTCTAGTCCAACCCCCTGCCTAGGCAGGAAACCCTACACCACTTCTGACAAATAGTTATCCAACATCTTCCTAAAGACTTCCAATGTTGGAACATTCCCAACTTCTGGAGGCAAGTTGTTCCACTGGTTAATTGTGGAAATTTCTCCTCAGTTCTAAGCTGATTCTCTTCTTTTCCCATCTGCAGCCCTCCTGGAGGAAGCACTACAACCCCCATCCTTCCCAGCATGTCAGAAAGACAACGGGCTGGCACACTTCCACTCCCCAATGGAGGGGCGCCCAGGCGAGGCCCTTCAGCGGATGCAAAACCACAACTCCCAGCAGGCCTCGCGCTCCGCCGCCACGGCCAGGGCTGCTGGGAGTCGTAGTAGGCCCGCCGCCTCTCTAAGTCTGGAAGAAGATTCACCCGCGTAGCCGATGAAAGCGACGTGACGGCCCCGACGAGCCAGTGACAAGGCGTGGTACTGCATGCGGGGGCTGCGGCCCAGGTCGCCCACCACCAGCACGGCCACGCGTCCCGCGACATCGCCAGGCCTCTTCGGGGGCCCGAACAACCACCAGGCCCCCAGCGCCCCCAACAACAGCAGCAGCAGCGCCGTCCCCGAAAGCAGCCAATCGCCGGCCTCCATCTTGGGAGAGGCGGTGAGGGGCCGCGCGGAGTGGCTCCGGGAGCGCCGCCAATCCACGTCGGGACGGCGCCGCCCTGCCGGCTGGGCTGACCAACTACAGACGACGACGCGGGGTTTGAATTCTAGAGCGCCGCTGGAATGAATGCAAGATTGTGTCCCTTTTCTCAATGTTAACTAACACATGTAGAATAGTATAGAAAACAGAGTTGGAAGGCACCTTGGAGGTCATCTAGTCCAACCCCTCACCCAAGTAGGAGAACCTATACCATTTCTGATAAAGGGCAGTCCAGTCTCTTCTTGAAAGCCTCCAGTGATGAATCATCCACTACTTCTGAAGGCAACTTCTGTTTCACTAGTTGATTGTTCTCACTGTCAGAAAGTTCCTCCTTATTTCCAGGTTGAATCTCTCCTTGTTCAATTTTAATCCATTATTCCTTGTTTGGCCTTCGGGTGCTTTGGAAAATAGCTTGACCCCTTCCTCTCTGTGGCAGCCCTTCATATATTGGAATGCTGCTGTCCTGTCTCCCCTGGTCCTTCTCTTCACTAGACTAGCCATGCCCAGTTCCTGCAACCGTTCACCCTATGTTTGAACCTTCACACCACCACAACCTTCTAACACTGATGATATTACCGAGTTGGGTAATAAAATGCCTATACAAAAACAACCAAGCTAGGAGAGCACCAAGGACTCCACAGTTCAACCCTGAGCTTCATTTATTCTTTTCTAACTAGGTCAATGTTCCTCAACCTTAGTTATTTTAAGAGGTGTGCACTTTTTTGTTGTGGTGGTGAATGCCACAATAACAATTTATTTTGACTGAGTACTTGAAAGTTATGCTGGAAATGTGAGCAACACGAAGGAGCATATTATGTTTGATGGAGATTACTAGAAAACCTTGATCATCCACGTTGCTCTTCTCTGCTCTCCTTCTAGAGTCTCAACATCTTTTTTATAGTCTGATGACCAAAACTCTATGTGTAAATTCTATGTGCCAAAAGGGGAGGAAATGCCAAGTGGGGGGGGGGGGAAGGGTTCCGACCCAAAGTATGGAAAGGGAGCATCTAAGAGGAAGATGTAAATCATGTACCCCACTTTCAAAGGGTGTCTGCAACGGACTGAGTAGTTGCAGAAGCGTAGAGTTACCATCAATTGGATCAGTGAGATCCTTGGTGCCTTAGAAGCTTGATGGGTGTTAAACAGATGTTTCATTACCCAACTATGTAACATCATCAGTGTTAGAAGGGTGTGGCACAAACCTGTGTATAAACAATGCAGAAACCCCACAATCTTCTAACACTGATGATATTACATAGTCGGGTAATATAATGTCTACACAAAAAACCAAGCTCAGAGAGCACCGAGGACTCCACAGTTCAACCCTGAGCTACATTTATTCTTTTCTAACTAGGTCAATGTTCCTCAACCTTGGTTATTTTAAGAGGTGTGCACTTTTTTTTTTTTTT